GAGCTGCTTAGTGAGGCCCTGTACAAATAAATAAACAATAAATAATTTTTAATTAAATTAAATTAAAAAAACTAAAAGGGCTGAAGATGTAGCTTAGTGCTGAGTTCAATCACCCATACAAATAAAATAAAGTAGAACTCACCCAGTATTGTAGTGATTGTGGTTGTTCTACATAGATCAGGTTATCACATGTATCAAAATTAATGTAAAGTGCATGAAGATGTTTTATTCTTCTCATGGAATTTGAAATCCTCCTAAGTCCATGTAAGTTCCTAAAATTTATTCTTACATCGCTGCCCTAAATTGCACAGTTCCTTTCTGTTCATGTCAGTACTAAATAAAACCTATCTTCTCTCAGTATTGTGTAGTACCCAAAGTTTGATAATAATTTGATAGGAAACCAGTAAGAGAACAGAAATAACCTCAGTAGGATGTTGGGAAGCCAAGGCTGATTAGTCTGAGGAAGGTTTTGCTTTATCGTTTACCGCCTGTAGCTCCCCACCTTTGTTTTGATTCTGTGAAGAGTGGATGTGTGGGCTGGGGACTGGGGGTCAGATTCAGTGAGCTCACAGGATGAGAATTCTGAGATTTTTCTGAGTATGAGTGGGTTGGGCGGTTAGCAAAAAAAAAAGGAATATATTAATCTGAGTGTATTTACAGATAACTCTGCTCAAAATGTGCCTAATGTCTTCATTCCTTCTGTTGCCTAAGAATCTGTTGCCTATTTTAAACAAGGAAAAGTCCATTTGTGTAGACCAAGTTAGTGTACATGCTAACACTTATGAGTGGTTCTAGAATAGTTTTATAGTTTTGAAAAATTACTAGGTGAGCTGGGGAGATAGCTCAGCAGCATAGTGCCTGCCTGGCAAGCGCAACATCCTAAGTTCAATTCCTGGCACCAAAAGAAAAGAAAAGTAAGGACTAGGCATGTCTAAATAACGTCCATTCATCTTTGACCTCCAGATGCAATTTTCTAAGGATTACAGCTTATAAAACAACCAATTACATTTGTTTTAGGGATTCATAACATAGACCATAGCCCTTCTGCTGTTCTTGCTCTAAAATCTCATTAGCATAAGCACATCCTAAATGACCTCTTAGAATCAGTGCTCCCTTTCTGTGCTGGGCTCCTGAAGCAGCCTTCTTTCTCTGTATTAAGCTATCTGTGTTCACTTCATTTTGCTTCAGTCATCTTATTTTGTCACCTTTGGTGCTATCTTTCTGGGCTGTAATGGAATGGCGCTGAATCAGACAAGCTGTAATTTTTATTGCAGGCATGTCTCAAGGCAAATTTATACGCTGAACTTGATATCAGACACTACTGGAGGGAACGTGCCTTTGTTCTAAATTACAAAATGCTCTGCTATTCTAAACTTGAAGCATGTTGAAAATAAACTGTCTCTTTTTCTGACATCAGGAACTTCACAATGTATTAAGATATTCCTTTAAAAATTTATTGTGTACAAAATAGTACCACCAAGCTGTTTATAGAATAATGCTATATTCAGGTTGTAAAACTCATATTTAAGGGGAAGTTATGTCACAGAAATGTCATTATATGAAAGATCCAAACATTTGATTTTAATTTTCTTTCCATGGAAGGCTAAGAGGAGACCACTAATTTATTAAACAGCACTTTCTGGTGTTAGTATGAGACAAACCAATGAGATACATAGAAATAGGCACAAAAATACTCACCATAGATTATGATCTCTCCTGCGCCAAACTGTAGCCCTCTGCTACTTCCGCCTGCCAGAACCTCTGAGCAGCAAGTCGCCCAGCATGCACTGGGAGTTCCGGGTCGCCTGTAATGCGGCCTACCCTTCTCTTCCAGGGCCCTGTGATCATACATGTGCCATGTGCTACCTGCCAGGGAGCTGTGTGTGTGTGTGGAAGTTGGAAAACAAGACCTGCTATTATAACCTGTGCAGATGTGTTTCATTTCTTCCTATAGTGTTACCAGTGTAGAGTCTGAGCTGCACAGCGAGACCCTATAACAACTAAATACATTAAAATAAATAAATTATTTAATTAATTTTAAAAATGTCCCCTCACACTGAAAACTTGCTACTATTCTTGTCTGTTACTGAAGCAGCAACATAGACTTGCAGTGAGCCTCCTGGTTTCAGCCTCCCCAGTGCTGGGATTACAGGCATATGACACCACGCCCCAATTAGGTGGCTGGCTCAGCACTGCTTGGGGTCAGGGCTGGTGCAGCATGTGATGCTAGGGATCGAACTACAGTCTCTGTATTTGCCTAAGCAGGTGCTTAGTCTGCTGACCTATCTCCTATCTTTTTTTAATTTTGTTTTTTATTTATATTTTGGGTTACTCATATGAGAGAAATCAGGTAATATTTAAATGTATAAGTCTGATTTAGGAAATCATTTTTAGTTGCACTGTCTTAGCCTCTCAATGGCTTAAACTGACTCAAAACATATACCATTTATGAACATTTTATCTTTGAGGAAGAGCCAAAAATATTAGCCTTTATAAAATGGGAAATATGTTTAAAATGTTATTGACTTTAATTCAATTTTAGGCCCACTACCAGAAACAGGAGTCAATTGCTCTCTTGAAACAAAATTCTTATTGTTAAGCTATCTCAGGCTTTCACAGAGAGCAAATTGGTCAAGCAATGGCTGTGACTCATCCACATGGCTGACACTGACAAAGGATCTACAAACTGCGGTACAGGGTTTCAGTATAAATCCTGAGGGGATTTGACTGACCTTGTCAGATACAAAGGTACATTTCTTGCTCTATCTTGGTCTTAACCATCCAGCAGAAAAATATAGAAGTATAAAAAGTAAAGCCATGTTAATATGCTGAGCTGTAAAAGGCTCAAGTCAACAACTGCTGACATTGCCAGTCCTACAGATAACCCCCTACTATTATGAACTACTTAACTATATTGAAATAGTTTGCTGAATTCATGCACTTACAATATTTAAATGACAATGGAATACCCATCTCTGACAAAACTAAACAAAAAAAGGGGATGCAAATGAAGGGCCATTTTGTATATGTATATTCAAAATAGTTAGGGCAGATATACAACTACTTTCTCTTAATTCAATGAATAGAAAGATTTGTACTAATAGTGTTTGTGGACAGGATATCATGTTTGCATCAGGTATTATGAACAACCACCAAGAGGACAACAATATGCAAAGTATTAATTATTGAAACTGTCCTAATAATTGGTTTTGAAACTGTCTCATTGCCATTTGTTTCTCAATAAAATCTTTTAAAAATTTTTGAACCATCAAACCATAAAAAAGAGATATCACTAAGACAATTATGCTGTGTCCCAGGAGTAGGTATCTTGTCACTCTGGCATTAATTAACTTGTAGTATAGCTGCATGTTGTTACTTTTTAATCTCACTTTTGCCCTCAGTTACTTATTTAAACTGTCACTTTAGTTTATTCTTTAAAAATGGTAAAATTAATTCAATAGTTGTAGAATATACCAGAATGTTCTTCTCATCAGATAATATCTTAAAATGTATCTTTTAAGGAGAGACATATAGAACAAAAACACATTATCATGTCACTTTCAAAGGAATTAATTTTATACAACAACAACACAAACTCAATAAAGTACAGATTAAATTCTGCTTAAAGTTATGGTTAGAATTGGCAGAAATAACACAGAGAATACATAATTTGTTGTATACAACATAATTTTGCACCTAAAAGGCTGATGAACTACAAAAATATTCCCAATACTTTTACCTAATTCTAGTGTTGGCTTTAAAGACCTCAGGAAAGAATTAATTCACTCCATCTAGCACAGACCAAAAGGGCAGAGGTATATATTACATGAGATTCATGGTCCTTGGTTGTGGAATGCCTTGAGCATTTGTTCTTGTTCAAAATATAGAATACTATTTCAAAGCACCTGTTCTCATTCTGAGACGTTAGTGAGCCTGAAGTATGTAAGTGTCTGATTTTGAGCAGTGTGTCACAGTCCATATTTGTTCTTAAAAGTCAACCATTTGGGTTACACACCTATACAAATTCAATGATGTTGGTGGACTGCTCCACAGTTCTTCAAGCTAGAAATTCTATAGTGGCTCAGAAACTCAAAGGAAATGGTCTAGCAATCTAGAGATGGATAACCAAGGACAAACTGATGTCATCTCTAACTCAAAAATTTATTTCAAAGTCCTGGAGCATTTGCCCAAAAAAGAAAACCTGACAACATATTCAGCTTTGAAAAGGGTGAAATTTATCCTACCAAAATGCAAATAGAATTTGCTTCTCAATTCATCTCTCCTTGTCACTCTCACAAGCCCAGAAACACAATGCAAACACAAATGAAGCCCTTGGGCCAATGTAGCAAAAAAAATATAGAAATAAGAGTTAGCATTTTGTGGCCTTTGGGGCAGTTGACCTGCATATGAGTCCTAATTCTAACCAGCACTAACTACTCCACCCTAACAAAGTCATTTATTCTCCCTACCCAAGTTCCTTATCTGGAGCTTGGCTCTGAATGCGAGGAATTGCTACAAGGATAATATGTATCAATTTCTGATCTTGTATGCAATTACTAATAAATAATATGGACTAAAAATACCAATTTTTCAGCATAAGTTTGATTTAGAAATATGCTGCTTTTGTAAAATTGTAATTTTTAATAAATATATTAAACCCTTGCACATAGAGGAACAAAGACGCAATGCCTATGACAAATTAAAGTTGAAATAAGCTATTAAATTATCGTAATTACAATCAATTCTAACTTGATATGCCATTTTTTTCATAGGATTAATGGCTATTTCTTCCAGTAAAGACTACCAAAAGAGAAAGAAAACATACTGTTACCACTAAAATATTCACCTTTCCTTTAATGTTTGTTTATGTATTATGTCTTAATGTCAAGAAAAAAGATAATACAAAAGCAATTTAACATTTATCTTCAAACGCACAACCCTTGTCTTACTTGAGAATATCCAGTAGGCTCAGCTATGCATCTCTTCTTTCCCAAATTCAGATCCCTCCAGGATCTCTCCAAGCAAACAGACGTCCCTTATGGCACGGTGCTGGACTCGGCAGTGTACGAGCACGTCCGCATGAAGGGCCTGAACCCCTTTGAGAGGGACAGCATGTATTCCCAAATGTGGCGAATGATCAATCGAAGCAATGGGTCCGAGAACAACGTTCTGGAGTCTCACGCAGGCATTCAGAAGGTACTGACCCTCGCATCTCGGGAACGGCTGTCACTACCTCATCTTCCGTGCTGGAATTGCTAAGTTGAGATCCACTGTTTGTTTTATGTAATTCTAACATAGGATTTTCCATGAAATTATACTTCTTATTGATCTACAGAAGGTTTGAGCCAACTCAGAGCACCAAGAGAAGGGGTGCAGGGTGTCCCATAGTGTCTCATAGATCAGTCTCTTCCCGATTTCCGAACTAAAATACAAGCACTGATATTTTGTTCAGAAAAAGATTAAAGGCATAACACATGAGGACTGAAAATGTTTTTACAAATCCCATTCCAAATATCATTCAGTTTATCCAATTCTTTTAAATGACTCAGGGTGTTTTCTACACTGCATTTGTTTTGTAGATTAAAACTTTGTCTTTTTGTGATTATGTGAAGCCATTGGGAAGTAAAAGTTAATCTTCTCCACAAATAAGGTTCCTGCAAATGTCTTTCTATTTCCAAATTTGAAACTCTTTATCTACATCTTATTTTTCTATAGCCATCATTTTGCTGTAAGTACAAAAAAGGCTTAGGTAAGCTTTTCCCTCATGTGAAAAACAAACGCTGGCTTTCGTTCTGAGTAAAGTTTATTCAGATACATACAGAAGCAATTCGGGTCCCATCAACCTCTTTGAAAGAGTGATCTGATTTTTGCTTAATATTTTCTCCAGCAGCTCAGCTAGTGAAAGCCACTGCAGTTGGCCATCAGTAGACAATCACAGAGCGAATGAATGAGGGGGCATGAACAGCAGCAGCACTAGTGTGCTGTGCCTCTTCTCCGAGACATTTCAACCAAGATAACTTGGACCTTGAATCTGAATTTTCTGGTAAAAAGGACAATACTATGCTTGAGATGTTTTGACTGTTAAGTTATTTTTGTTGGAGAGGGCAGCATTATTCTCTGACTTTCTATGCAATGCACTTTATCTACATAAATATGATGATGATGATGCCCCTAAAATTCAGATAATCCTTGTATCGCCCAAGTGATATTATTAATTTTCGACCTGATGCTGTGGACATGAACTTCTCTGCAAGTGTACGCTTTTGGCAAAGTGAAAACTCTTGAGATCTTAGCAATGGCCTCTAATTCCTTGCCTGCATTAGATGACGTCCAGTCTCCTGGGCCCAAATGTTGATCCTAAAGTGTCTGCTTCTTATTTTCTCTCTGGAAGACCATTGGCTCAGGCAGGGTCAGCCTGGCACCTTTAGTAGAGTTGAGGATGGCAGGGTAGGTGTTAAATGAACATGGGTGTTGCCAGGGAGAAAAGAAGGCAGACATTTGGGGTTTGCTTGGTATTCACAGGATGCAAATGAATGGGCACTCCAGACTGGTAATGCAAAATTCTTTGTAGATGAATCATTCCTCATATTGTCTAGTGTTAAAAGAAATTTGTTCCTGAGGATTAATATAAATAGACATTCATCATTCATATTTCTTTTTATTTTAGGAGTCAAGGCTTCACAAGCCTCAGCATCTTTCTGTGGAGTATTATTCCAGAGAAAGTTCATTTCATGTTACCTTACCAGACACATATATTATAAGTAAAATATTTTTTAAACAATCCTGCATACTCACTGCTATATTGATCAAATATTTTTTATGTACTAATTACATCCCAGATGCAGATCTAGGAACTAGAGATAAACTCAATAGCAGGATGAGGGCCATTGCATTCATGAAGTAGAGCCTGTGAGGAAGACAAAAAGAAAATAAACTGTGAATAAACAAAAATGATTTAAATTGCAATAAGCACTGTGAAATTTTGAGATAGAGTCTCATTGTAAGGATTAAAGAGATGCTGTACCAGTCACTTGGCTCATTTCTGCCTCACTTTCATCTTGGTGAAATGATGCCAGTGTGGAAATTAGCAACATGAGTTTCAGAGGCACATCAACCTGGGTTTGAGTCCAGCCCATTAAAAACACATTTACAGACATGGCTGGTTGCTTAGGCTCTCTGCACCTTGGGAGTTTCCCCATAATGATAAGCATTCTTACTCCACACTGCTTCCATCAAGATTAAATAAGATAATATATGCAGAGCGTCAACAAATTGTAAGAGGAGAGCAGTGCACTCTTCTTGTAAGATGGTCTGGAAGATTACCTAGGGGAATATAGATGCAGGGGATGTGTACCTGCAAGGCTTATTTGTTTGATATTGTCTACTATTAACTAAAAATTGTGATGCTATAAAAAGGTAAGTGCCATGAAAGAAGTAGAGAAGAATTTCCATCTATTGATACTTCACTGATAAGCAAGGCTGGCGAGTTTAAAACTATAAATTGAGCCCTACAGTGCTGCTTGTACTGCTTTTGTTCCTTTTTCTAATTTCCTAGAAGTCTGTGCAAGAATGCCTTCATAATTTCATAACAACATATCTAAGTGAAATTTGTTCGTAGTATATACTCTTTTAGTCCAGACAGCTGATAATTGATTTAGCCAAGGATAAGCAGTAATAAGGAAATGTATTTCAGTTCAGTTTGCAAGCTTTGGGCTAGCTTCTATTAAAAAGGAGAACCAACCAACACACGATAACCCCGTCACCTGCCCAAGTTCGCTGGAGGTTCGTGAAATCGGGAACTGTAATGCATGACATCATGGTGGACTCTGCTTCCTGCAACTGGTCTTGCACATCTCACACAGCAGCTTCGTGATCTCTGTCATTGATTTCTAATTTGTGCCAGTTGGAGCGACCTCAGAGGCCTTCTGGGCCAGATCTCACAAAACTTGACCTTCTTCCATGGTGTCCTTGACAGTAACTGCCTCCCAGGAAACCTAGATCACTACACAAAACAACCTTCACAATCTATAACTTTAAACAGCTCTCATTAATGTCTCAGCCTGTGCTGCTTCTTAATTGTGCCACTAGTCTCATTAAGTTTCTCTTACTTAAAGGTAGATCTTGATTCCTTCTAATATCTTTGTTCTGCTTGTGACAAAGAAATCTGTAAAGGAGCACTAAGAAGATAAGTTGTGACTTTCTATTCTTTGGAGACAGTCGCCTGAGTCAAACTATCCTAATTAAACCAGAGCCAGTTGGTCTCTGCATTTGCTCTTCCCAGCACTTTTTGCATGAATAGAAAAAGCATGATTTATAAAGTGCAACTAAATTCTTTTCCGTCATTGATCAAGTACCTTCTGTGTATCAGGCAGTAGTTATTGCAGTGGGTAGAAATGAAAACAAATGCCTTCAAAGAGTTCACCTTCCAGCAAGAATGGCAGAGGTAAGCAAAATAAAGAAACCATATTGTACAATCCTAAGTGACAAGTGATAAGAGAGACAGATGAATAGGCAAGGGGAGGAGAGACAGGGTTATCTGCTTCATTAGATCAGGTAACCAGGGAAGGCTTTCGCAAGAGTGCGACATTTGAATGAACCAGGAGTGTACGTGGCCAGGGAAGACATTGCATATTTGAGTGAAGAGTTTCCAGTCATGGACAGAGGGTCAGGCAGCACAAAGACCAGCTGAACACAAGCCTGGATGTGCCAAGAATGTGAAGGAAGGCAGCGTAGGTCATGCAGATGCGTGGGAGAATGCAGTACTGTAACAAGAAGGGAGGGACACACTAGGATCTTGCCCCTCCAAGCATGGCCGTGGGAAATAGTAGCATCAGTGTTACCTGGGTTCTTTCCAGAAGTACTGACTCTTAGGCCCTCGCCACAGCCCTTGCAAATATGAGTTTCATTATAGTTTCATTATAACAAGATCTAGGTGATTCATTTGATTTGTACAATAGGACATACGCATCACTCTAGGTGAGTGCTGCTCAGTGTGAGGCATGAAAATTGAGAGGGTTTTACAGAAGAGTAACATGGTCTGTCTTGCAGATAGACAAATTATGTGGCTGTTGTGTTGAGAAAATCAGAACGGGTAACAAGCAAACTAGGAATAAGATAGGAGTCAGTGCCAGGCAGCACCCCGAAGTTCACCTTGGAAAAGGCAATCCTGGAACCCCCAAACATGCCCTAGAATACTACATACACAAGCAGTTATTGGCAGCAGTACATTAATGGAATTGATTAGATTTTATAAGAGACTGGTGCATATGACATGTAATTTCTCAGGGCAGCTGGAGAAATTTCCAGGCTATAGGTAAGGATTTGAGCAGCAATGAAGGATCACTGAGCAGTGCTGCAATAAAATCCCTTGCAATTAGGCTGCTTATATTGATTCCCTGATGATTAATTTTAACCTGGGTGGTAAGGCTCAGCAGTGAGGGCCACAGGGAGAACGAATATCAGCAGGACAGGATTAGAACTCTTACCCTAGGCTGAGGGTCACAGGGTTAAGGAAATTATACTCAGGACTACAAAGCCTGAAGAATAGGTCAGTTCGTGTGGTGGCAGAGCAGAGATGGTGCTGGTGCTGGTGACGCTGGCAGTGGCAGTGGCAGTGCTCGGGCAGAAGGATAACATCTATTTGTATGGCCACCAGCCCGTGTAAGCCCAAGGTCAGTATGGTAGAAGGGGCTACAGTAGAAAGGAGGAGGATGGTGAGGCCTGGATGGATGCCAGGGCACTGGTAATCCAATTACCAGGGATTGGGCTCAAGACCTTTCACTTGCCAGGCAGGCACCTAGGCCCCTGAGCTATATCTGGCCCTGAACCTATATTTTTACAAGCTCTTTCAAATCATATTCCCTTAGACTTTTCCAAGCACTGTTTAGGTACTGAAATGTGAACCAAAATAATATCTCTGCCCCAAAAGATTATAATGTAGTGGTGAGAAGACAACAGCCAAGCACACAAATGAGTGCTGTCCAAAAAATTTCAAAGAGTGAGGGAGAAAGGGAATAGAGGCAGGAATATCCCACACTGGGGATGGCAGCAGTGCTGAGTGAGTGACAACTGGATAGAGAACTGAAAGAGGACAAGGTATGAGCCTGAGAACCCTGAGCAGAGGGTTTGTGCACTGCAGAAGTCTTGTGGAGGTGACCAGCCTGACGCACAGGAGAGGAGCGAGCACCTACTTGGGG